CCCTTCATTCACTGAAGAGTTTTTCTTTTCCCTTTCCACCATCAGGAAGTTTGTAGAAATTTTAGTGCTACACTAAATTGTTCAGATGGTGACCTGTGCCTCTCCTCATCTCTGGTTTCACTGCCAGCATCATGGTGCTGAGTGACATTTTATCTCTTGTCACAAATTTGCACCAGTTGTTTAACCAGACCCATCCTGTGCTGTGAGCTCGGGTCTCTCTTGTTTGTTCAATAAGCTGGTTGCTGTGATAGTTGTGTTGATTTGGAAGATTGGGGGGTTTATTTTTTTATATTATTTTTTGAGATTTGGAGTAAGGATACTGCTGTTTCAGATAGGGAGAAATGCAGAGGGAGGTGCAGAAATGGTAAATGTCTAGAGTGTGTTATAGCAGAAGCAGCCTGCTTAGCAGGGTTGGCAGAGTGTTATATGAGTGATGGAAGGATCAGCACATTAATTTTTTGCACCTTGGTAAAGAATTCCTGGGCATCTACTGGGATGTGCTGTGGAAAAGATTGGTTTAAAACTTGGTGAAAACATGATGCTGAAATACAGCGAAGATATTTAAAACTTCACAAAAATATGTGAAGAAACTTCAAAGGTGAAAAATGTAAGGGAAAGCATGGAAGGACAGGTAAACAGACAGAATGAAGAAATGAAGGGAAGAAGGAAGAAAGGAAAGAATGAAGGGAAGAAGGAAAGAATGAAGGGAAGAAAGAAACCTCCAGCCATCTGGTAGTATGCTTCCCTATGTTTGGATGTTTGGATTGAAATGAAAAAGAGATCACTGAGAAGATTTTATAGATTTATGTGGAAGAATAAAAATGAAACAAGAAATATTAATGCAATTATAATAGCTGTACTGGAAAGATGAAACATTGATCATGAAGAATTTCACATAACCTGGTATTGACTGGTCTGTGGAATATATAATGGAAATAATTGTTCTTGAGCAGGTTTGACTTATAATAGTAACAGCAATTGAAGACTGCATTCAGAAGGAGAAGTTGAAGAAGCTAGGCTTATTCACAGGAACAAAAGAAAATTGTGGTGACCTAATTCCAGCTTTTGTTGTGCAGAATATACCAGTATTGATAGCAGGACAAATTACTCTCACTGTCAGACTTGAAAGCAAGATTCACAAGATGCTGCTGTGCTGCACTACTCTTGCTTTCAAATACATCTTAAATACATAGGGGACAGGTGATGTATTGGTCCAGAGACCATTACAGCTCATCATTTTCTGAGAAACTGCTGTGACTCTTCTTGGGACTGTGTGCCATGCCTTCTGCACTAACATGTGATAAGACCATTCCTTGAAATACAGTGTCTTCTGTTTCTTCTGCCTGTATCATCTCAGGGACCTGTGTGTGCCATGAAACTGGTACCTCATATGATGTATTCCTGCACTAAATTCCGCGTTTGGGCTTTTTAGATCACTAATTGAGGGTGAAGCCCTCAAAGTTTCCCACATTTTAAAGAATGTTTGGTGTTTTATCGGACTTGATCTGGAAGACAATGACAATCTCAAAGTGCATTATGCTTTTTAATGCAGGATAATCAGAGGCAAAGACTACTACCAGATTGACAGTTGTTTGGTGCAGGAGCTAATGGTTACTTGTGTGATTATACTTTTTTTTTTCCTTAAACAACAGTAGTGCCTTCTTTTTTACATTTCTGACATAATCCCATGTGGGACATGTGAAATATTAATCATTCTGTAAGAGGGTTTCTCTTGAAGTGTCTATATGTATAAAAGATGGAAAACAACAGCATAGACCTCCCTCCCTGCTTCATTGATGTCTGAGGCCTTATTTGCAATGGAAATCTACCCCTGTCCTTGCAGCAGGACAAGTGCTTTCAGATGATGAGCTACCTGAAAAGGCTGGTTTTTACATGAATGATCCAAGTAATAACTTTTCTCCGAATTCCTTTAAGTGAACGATGAATGTGGTGTTTCATTCATGGACACAGGCAGACTGGCTCCCTTCACCACTCCCTGCTGCATAATCTGTCTTTTATCCCTGTTCACAAACTCTTGGGAACATTTCGCATGCTTTCAGGTGCTCTCCAGTTATTACTCGTTTGCTAGCAGTGCTTTGTGGTTTAGATAGAAATGCAAGCTGACCACTCCTTTTTAGTGTCTGTTTTCATATACAGCATCTCAGTGTTGACTTTCTCCCCATGCCATTGTCCATTGCTTTATCAATAAAAGCATGACTTTTATCAAGGTGTATACCAATGTCACCACCAGTTTTACAAAGAATAAGTTGCATGTCCGATAGTTCTGCAAATGCCATTCCACTCTCACTGTCCCAAGGAGCCATCTGCCACCTACCCCAGTGCAGTTGGCAGTAAAATGAGAGAATGTGTGCCTTACTAACTGATTTCCCACATATTGACACCAGGTTATGCTTTCCATAAGATTCTGCAATAAAATCTCCCTTGTGGATAGAGTCAGAATTGTGCAGAATCAAAGACTTGTTTTGAAGTGTGCAACTTCAAGACCCTGCCCTACCTTGGCTGAGGTTGCACTTGAGAATAATACCTATCCTGAGCAAGGCCACCGTTTCAGTACAAAATAGGAGTGTGTGGGTATTAAAATCTGAAGCAAAAGAGAAATGGAGTGAAGGTTACCGGAGGAGATGATTGTGCAGGGAAGAGGAGCTCCATGAAGGAAAAAACGTTTGTAGCTTATTTCTTCTCATCATCCTTTCATCTCTAAGAAATACTGTAGTAAATTGCAGTAAGGCTTTGTGAGTGCATTTAATTCTGTCTTAAGAAAAATCAAAGAAAATGAACTAGCAGGGCTGGGATCAGGAACTTGAGGAAAAGCAGAAATAGCATGTTAGGAAGATGTTATTCCCTCACCATGCTCTTTATGGTAAAATATTTCACAGAATTTCTCAAGTTGGAAGGCATCCATACACATCAAGTCTACCTCCCTGCTCCTTGAAGGACTACCTAAAACTAAACCATCTAAAAGTGTTGTCTAGATACTTCTTGAACTCTGGCAGGCTTGGTGCCGTGACTTCCATGGGCAGCCTGTTCCAGTGACCTACCACCCTCTCAGTGAACAACCTTTTTCTGCTGTCTGATCTAAACTTCCCCTTACACAGCTTCATTCCATTTCCTTGTGTCCTGTCTCAAGTCAACAGAGATCAGTCATCTGCACCTACCCCTCTGCTGCCCCCCTTGAGGAAGCTGTAGGCTGCAATGAGGTCACCCCTGGGCAGTCTCTTCTCCAAACTGAACAAACCAGGTGACCTCACCTCTCCTCCTAAGTCTTGCTTTCGAGGCCTTTCACCATCTTGGTCACCCTCCTCTGGACACACTCTAATAGTTTGAGGTCCTTTTATTGAGGCACACAAAACTTCACACAGTACTCAAGGTGAGGCACACAGTATGAAGGAGGAGAAAGGTAGTCTCCTTCACTAAGGGAAGGCAGAATGGATAGTGAGCACCCCCCCAGCTGTCAAGGACTGTGTCGTACACAGGCTCATCCCGCTGTAAAGTATGGCTACATTTTAAGTGTTAAAAACTAGCATCTAAATATGTCCTAACACAGTTAATGGAGAGTTGTAACTGGAAAGCATGTGTAATACACATGGATGTACTAGTTTATGGGTAGAAAGGCATGTTGTTCTCATCATTTGTTAACCTTTTTAGTTACAAATCATTTGTAAAGTATTAGCATTTATTGTCACAGAACCATAGAATCAACGAGGTTGGAAAAGACCTTTAAGATCATCAAGTCCAACTGTTACCCCAGTACTGCCAAGTCCACTACTAAACCATGTCACTGAGGGCCGTGTCTACATGGGTTTTTTAATGCTTCCAGGGATTTTTCAGAATGCAGTGTCCTGAGGCCATAATGGTGCTTTAACGGGGTAACCAGGTCTGCTATACCCTTTTTACTTATTCTCCTGTGGTACAAATTATGCTGTTCTTTCTGTGCTGCTGCTGTACTTCAGATGCAGTCAACAGCAAATGTTGATTTCTTCTGTCAAGCATTGTATTTCTGTATCTGTCTTCCGTTCTTTGTTTCTCCCTCCATGCTGCGTTATTTTCTGTAAATGCTATTTATTACATACCATGGTCAGCATTCTGCCAGATCCATCTCACTGCATTTAATTACACTCTGTTGAAGAGTAGCTGAACAGAAGTTGCGTTCTCACAGTGCCTTGCTATAGGTTTTTTTTTGTGAGCATGAATGTTGAACCGTTGAATATCAGCTGAGTTTGGAATTTACCTGAATATGTTTTACTATTCCAAAGAGATTACACAATGGCCCTGATTAGCAGCAACATTTTGTAATACCACTTAAAGCTTTATCACAGTGGAGTACTGCCAGTAATAGTCTTTAATTCACTTATATGTACCAATTCATCTCTGTCAGGTTTCTATTAATTTCTTTGCTGTTTTACTTTCTCCCTATCCCCTATATAATAAGGCATGATTTCCACATTTATGTAGCCAAAATAAAATAAAATAATTAAATCTGCAGCAAATTAATTGTGATCCTGTGATTTGAGACAACTGTGCCATCTCTCCATTTGCGTTCACATTTAATCCACTTTTCTCAACGTAATGTATTTAGGAGGATCTGCGTGGGTCAAGTGACCAAGGGGCAGTAACAATTTTACTGGCCAATTTAGATAAAAAGTTTCAGGATTGGGTTAGGTATATTAACTGAAAAGTGGAGGGTAAGTGTGGAATTAAAACTGTATGTGTTCATGGGCACGCACACTTGTGAAAAGCCACAGGGTGTTCAGCAGTAACATTTTTCATCAGAATGATAACTAACCTTGGTTACAAAGCTGATTGCCAGAGATAAACAACAAAATTGCTGCATGCACCATTTTGTTTTATCTGGCACCACTTTCACAGTGTGCTGGAAGATCTAAACAGTTGGGGTTGGTGCTCCGAATTTGAATGATGAATCGGTGCCTGTGGTTACTGTTGAACCAACTGTATATTTGTGCTTTCTTTTTCGTTGTTAGGATTGGTGCAAAGCATCAGGAGCTACGGCAAAAGCAATTGAGAGGTCTGAGTGATTATTCTATTGGTCCTGGAGGACCTGACATTGATGACGATGAGGTGGATCCAAATTATGCCAGAGTAAACCACTTCCGAGAGGTTTATCCAGCAGCAAGCTTCTACAGGCCATCATCACCAGCAGTAGCAGAAACCTTTGTATATCCACGTGATTCTCCTTCAACACCAATGGAGAGGGAGCACTTGGAAGGACTGTATGCAAAAATAAACAAGCAGCACTACCCACAGACGCCTGGTGACAGGTAGTATTGCCATCTGGCACAGCAAACAATGATCGTTTGGAGGGTGGAGAGCGTGAGGCTAGGTTGGGGGGCTGTTCAGGTGCCCCAAACCCCTGTATGTACTGAACAGAAAGCCATGAATTTCCTCTTCACCAAAATCACGATTTGTTGCAGCAGTGCCCCCGAAGCATCTGAGCAAGGCAGCAGTCAAACAGAAATCATTAAAGAAAAGTCCATATTTCACAAACAGAATGAATGAACTGACTCCAGTCCAATTCCCACACTGCTGAGAGAGTGTTTTTTCCCTCTTTCAATCGGGAAAAGTTCTTACCCTGCAGCAAAAATAATCTCTGTTTTCAGATCCCTTTCGATTCTGCTGATCATCAAGTGCCTATTAGTAACAGGTTTTATATGATAGCATGATATATTGCATATGTTTATGGTTCAGTTTTCCCCAGCTGTGTGATATTACGCACTTTCATTAGGTTGTGGAAAGGACTGGGAATCATGGCATTTTTATGCAGACTGTGAAGTGTGGCTTCACAAGACTGATCGCCTTTCACAGCCTTTCCAATAACCAAGCGGGAAGGAAAGAGCAATTTTTAATCCTTACTGTCAAGCTTCCAGGTTGATAGCATTAAAGAAAGATGGTCAAGTTTTTCCCTGTTCTAAAAGGAAAACAGAAATTCCTTTGAGTTGATGGTGTACCCGCCATTGTGATGATTTTAAAACTGATTATTTCTGGAATTTGGGGCTAGAAGAATGTAAGACTTCATTACTGCCATGGCATTAAATATATCCATGCTGGGTTTTTCAAACCAATCTATTGGTGTGTAGGAAAGATGCACAAGTCTATGTGAAAAGAAGAGCTGACAGAGTAAGCCATGAGGGACTTGAGGAATTGTTCACGCTTTGAGTTCATGTTACAATCTGTAGTGTCTCCCCATAGCCTCAGTCTGTGCTATGTGATACCACACTTGTTAATTTTGGAGAAATATGTGAGCACAGATATAGGAGTGTTTTCAGTTTGTGGCATCACAGCATTTTAAAAACATCTACTGAGTCATTGTTATAAATAGCAATCAAACATAAATCTGACATAAATCTAAGTTTGTAGCAGAGAATGGGCCAAGTATCTCTCTTTTTCACCTAAATACAGTATGGTAGAAATCTTCCCAAACATAATGATATTGCTGATGTTTTTCTTGCATATTTTTAACTCTTTCCCTAGTGCATAAAGGTGAAGAGGGTGAAATTGGAGGTAGCAGTCGCAGCTTTTTGCCATCTAACAAGTTTTGCTTTACTAGAAAATTCTTGAGGCTATTGTCACTGAAGTCACACAAACGTTTGCGTGTAATGAAGGGATCAGAAACAGAGTTCATGCTAACTCAGTATACTGAGAGCTGAGAATTCCCATCATGGGGGAAGTCTAATTTCAGGTTTATGTAACTCAGTTGGAGGAAGACATTGTCGTAAAGGTTGCTTCATAATTTCAGTTTTAACGGGACTTCATAGCTTTACACTTTAAAAATCCCATCAGCTTTGAAGTGTGGTCTATACATTGTTTTTGCTATGCAGCAAAAAGAAATGCTCAAGTCTTTCTCTCTGGCCTCTTTTATTTGATTGCTTGTATTGTGCTTGTAACCACACTGAATGAACTCTTGACTTGCTACGTGGACAAGATTGAAGTCCTAATCAGGTTTGGATTTGGTGCTAGGATCATGGATTTCAGTGTGGATTTAGTTGTAATTACACAATAGCTCAATGAAAAGCTAAAACCAAAACACCTAACAGGCAAGAAAAGTTACCTCATATCTGAGTCAGTGATCAGAAGTCACGCTGAGAAGCTGTTCCGTATGTGTTGATTCTGTACTGAAAGGCAAACAGTCCACAACAACTTTGCTTTGTTGAATTTCTCAGGGTTGTAGAGGCTGTTTAACCAGATTAGGAAAAAAATAGGAAATACAGGATTCTTATTAGGCTGCCTTTGTTCTTTTTTTAAATCTTTCTTTCCTTTGTCTGAGACAAAAAGTTTATTGTTACTCGCCAGCAGAAATGTGCCAAACATGAATAATTTTATGTGAATTTATGCAGTGGGTCATGAGGTCTCAGCCAGCAGTTGTTGGATGTAATGGCAACTTCAGGCAAGGAAACGTTTCTGTGCTAGAGGGAGAGTATTGAAAGAAGAAAGAGATGTGGAAAGAAAAATCCCTGGATAACATGTTAATTACAAAACCAAATCTGCTTTCAAGGGTCAAGTATGAAAACTACCTTGTCTGCCTCAAAACAATGGGAAAGGGCTATAATGGATGCTTATTAGCCGAACCAGAGTTATTTTGTGTTTTCAGGGCTGAACATTTATCAACACATTTGTCATGTAATAGGTTGTGCTTTGGTCTTGCTAACGCATGCAAGCTCTCTCTCAAAGTTTTGTTATTAATTTTACTTTAGATGGATGGCTTTTACTCCCACCTCTGACTCTCGACTTGTAATATAGCATGTGGAGACTTGATCAGTGACTAAATTAAATGGGTTTTGGGGTAGAAGGGGGACTTGCACACAGAAAGAATAGATGATTTCATTTTGGTCTGGGAATTCCAGTTATGTGTCCTTATGATGGAGAATTAAAACTCATCATTTGGAAAAAGAAGCTTTTTTTTTTTTTCCCTGAAGAGTGTATTAACACAACTAATGCCTTTTAAAATTTGGAGGCCATTTGTAAAGTATGAAGCTCAGTGGTCAGGTAAGGGCTGTTCTCTGTTCACAAACACATACCTTCCCTTTTCTCATCGCCAGCGTTCATGGAGGGTTTCTGGTTCATTCTTCGCAGCAGAATGTTTAAACTGATAGTCTCCTTCAGTATGCAGAAAAGCAGTGGGCTGCACATGTATGAAGTCTCTTGCTTTAATCATCATGAAGTATGTTTGCTGCCTCTGCGCACTGCTCCTCAGGGCACACACAGGCCTGCTTCACATTGCTGTTTGCATACTAACGCCCCTTTCACCTACGCTTGCATCTGGCATCTCAGGGGTTTTTTTGCTTTGGGTTTTTAAAGCGTTTGCTGAGTGTCTTATTTGCAACTGTTGTGTAATGTTCTTCTGCACTGCTTCACAATTGTTGATTTTCATTCCAACGATGACTATATTCAGTGAAATAGATGTAATTTTTTGTGTATATTTTGCTGAAAGCTTTGGAATTCTTAACTAAGAGAGGTGCTATATAAATGTAAATTGTCCTTATTAATGACTATAGCGAAAGCATTAGCATGATCAGTGTATTCTGTGAATGTTAAGTTAAAGAGAGTGAAAGAAAAAAAAAAAGCTGGCAAAATCACACATTTCTTTGTAAATCAAGCATTTTTCTGTTTATTTCTAATTAGCCACAATTTTCTGTAATGCAAATGGCATCCCAAAGGATGGTGCAGCCTGCACAGCCACCTTCTGCAGCTGGGGAGCTTGCAGGGTCTTTGCCTTAGACGCTGTACATTTCCCCAGCCTGCGGCAGAGGCTGGTGATCTGTGGCCCATATGTTCCTGAAACAAGTGGTAAGTCACATCTCTCCGAGTTTAATCATCAAGGCTGTACCTTGACAGTGCTAAGTTGCACCATGGCACAGCCGAGGTGTCAGACCAAAGCCAAAAGAGCATATGCACATCGCTATTATCACTTAAATGTCAGGCATGTCACATGGTGCAACCCTTTCTCACGTTTCAAATAAGCAATTTCCTCTTTTTTCCTTCCTTGAACATGGTGCTGTCAAGTATATTCAAACACCCCGAGCACATCTCCAGAAAGGTTCTAGAAACTTTGCTCAACTTATTTCCTCAGCCCAAAACCATGAAACGTTTAAGGTCTGATGCCAAACTCATTGCCAAGTATAATTCTTCATTTATTTGTGTGTCTTATCTTGGGGAATTTCAAAGTGCTGGTCTGACAAAAATGGATACAGCTTTCCTTTGTTTAGTGAGAATAGATTCAGAGCTGTATCTTCTTGCAGATTTAAAAAAAATACTTATAAAAACCCAAACACTGTTTTATTACATAGGAGCAGAGTCCAAAGCCCCAGTCTGAGTCAGCTTTCCATTTTTGGAGATGCTATGTTGGGACCCACTGTGCAAGATCTTATACTCTGCAAAGTTAATTTATTAATTGAAAAATGGATTTTCCTTATTTCAGGGTGAAAGTTTCCTTTATGAAAACTTCCACTCTTCCAGGCTGTTCTGTCTAGCAGCATGCAAAGTTGGAAATGGGGAAGTGAAACCCATACCTCTGCACAACCCTAACTCTGCCCCTGGCGTCCCACTCGCATTGCTGGCCAGAGTCATGAGAGTGAGGGGCAAGACACTGAGCAATCCGCCTCTCCCTGGAAAGGATCAAAGGAAGAAATTGTTGTGTGTGTCCTGACAAACCAAATGACAGATGTAAGCTATGTGTAAGCCTGAGAGGAGAATAAGACGGGTCTGGAGCTTTGACATTTAGCAAAGGGAACTTTGTAAATTAAAAAGCAGGCTAAATGCTTGTCTGTTGGGCAGGTGTGGGTCGTTCCTATCCTGCACAATTCAAGGCCATAGGAATTCAGAGCTGTACAGAGAAGGCTTTGCTCAAAAAGGGCAAGTTAGGATTGCCCAGGTATGTTACTTAGCCCTATATGTCTCCTAAGCCAGAAACTGAAATGTTCTTGTTCTCAGTTCTAAGTACCGTGAGCATTGCTCATTGCGCATCCATTTACAACACCTTTTGTCTCTGACTACCAAAAGAGCAATCCACTTCTGTAAAAGTAGAGGGTCCTTTACTCAGGAGTGGTTATTTTCTAAGATGAATATTGTGGACGCAAGGTAGAAACTGAATGAGGCTGCGTAGTATCTACATACCCTTTGCCTTGTGTTACAGTGGAAAGAGAATGATGGTCATGCATTGGAATATTTTGATTTACAAAGTGACAAGTACAAGCAAATCATTTACTCTCCCTAACCATACAGCCTCTTATGCTTGGTGTCCTGAAATCATCTACACTTTTTCCCT